TCATGCTCTGTCTCTGTCTCAAAAATAAATAAACATTAAAAAAAAATTTTCAAATGTAAAAATAAAAGTACAATAAAAAATTTCTGCACTGCAAACTGAAAGGCAATTTACTGAATGGGAGAAGATAACTGCAGATGACCTATCCAATAAAGGGGTTAGTATCCAAAATATATAAAGAACTGATACAACTCAACACCCAAAAACTGATACAACTCAACACCCAAAAACCAATAATCCAATTAAAGAATGGGCAGAAGACATGAATAGACATTTCTCCAGAGAAGACATACAGACCATGGCCCACAGACCATGAAAAGATGCTCAACATCACTCATCATGAGGGAAATGCTATCAAAACTACAATGAGATATCACCTCACACCTGTCAGAATGGCTAAAGTCAAAAACACAAGAAACAAGGATTGAAGATGATGTGGGGGGAAAAAAGGAACCTTCTTGCACTGTTGGTGATGCAAACTAGTGCAGCCACTCTGGAAAATAGTATGGAGATTCCTCAAAAAGTTAAAAATAGAACTACCCTATTATCCAGAAATCATACTACTGGTATTTACCCAAAAAATACAAAAATACTATACAAAGGGACATATGCACCCCTATATTTACAGCAACATTATTTACAACAGCCAAATTATGGAAGCAGCTCAAGTAAAGATGTGGTATCTATATATACCTTTACTCCTGATGAGTAAAGATGTGGTATCTATATATATACACAATGGAATATTATTCAGCCATAAGAAAAAATGAAATCTTGGCATTTCCTAGATGGAGCTAGAGAGTATAATGCTAAGCAAGTCAGAGAAAAACATACCATATGATCTCATTCATATAGAGTGTTGCTAGAATGTCTTTATCTTCAAGATTAAAAAAATACTAATACATTAATAAATGGACTTAAAAATAGGTAATATGATCTGCAATTATTTGATGGGAGATTTATACTAGGGAATTGTTTCTCCCCCATATGGCTAGCCAGTTGTACCACTACCTACTGACAATAAATCCTTTCCTACTGGCTTAAAATGTCACCTATAATTTAGTAAACTGAAAAATATTTACATTTGGGTCTTCTTCTAGTCTCTGCTGCCTATTTTATAAACAGTGCCAGGCTATTCTAACTGCTATTTCAGTGTTTAAATAAGATACTGCCTCCATATACCTAAATGATCTTTATAAAAATAAGATTCAAAAGGTTTAGAATGAAATACAATATAGAATTATTAGTTTAGTTCTATCTGTATCTCCTTAATGAGTTTTCTCCCATTTTGCACTTACGGCAACCCTTTTCCATTTCAAAATAACGAGTAAGTTACAGAAGCCACATAAATATGAAAACTGTGTTATCTGTAGGATTTATTAGTTTGATTTCTTGGTTAATGCATTTGCCCTGTGTCTTATCCTTAACCTTAATTAAACTCCAAAAGCCAGCCAATTATCATAGTATTTTTTGTTTTTCCCATTGGTATAGAACATTATTAAGAAACATGACTTACTATGCTCTAGGAGCCATCAGTTTTCTTGTACTGTTAGGGAAGATGAGGAAAGGAGAGAAGGTATTTTTGTTACGACTGTTATGAAAAAGGAATAGAAATAAGGAAGAGTTCTTAGAGGTGAAATGTTACTGAGACCAAAGCCAAACAAAATTATACAGGACAACTAGCAGACAAAGAAATCTTTCAGTCTGTTTTGAAAAAAAGACAGGTAAGGAAAAAAAAAAAAAAAAACTACGGATGATTTAGAGGAATTGTAGAGGAAGAAAATGAGAAAGCAAAGACTCAAACAAATGATGGAAAAAAGTATCTCGAAAGGACATGAAATTTCAGATTAAAAGATTCCACTGAATAGCAGGCAGTAATAACTTTAAGAAGATTTTATCTAAACGCATCCTTCTGACATTTGTACCATTAAGAATAAAGAAGGGGTGAGGGGCGCCTGGGTGGCTCAGTCGGTTAGGCGGCCGACTTCGGCTCGGGTGATGATCTCGTGGTCCGTGAGTTCCAGCCCCGCGAAGGGCTCTGTGCTGACAGCTCAGAGCCTGGAGCCTGTTTCGGATTCTGTGTCTCCCTCTCTCTGACCCTCCCCGTTCATGCCCTGTCTCTCTCTGTCTCAAAAATAAATAAACGTTAAAAAAAAAAAAAAAAAAAAAGAATAAAGAAGGGGTGCCTGGGTGGCTCAGTAAGTTAAAATGTCTAACTTCAGCTAGGGTCATGATCTTGCCGTTCTTGAGTTCGAGCCCCACGTTGGGCTCTGCACTGACAGTTCAGAGCCTGGAGCTTGCTTCAGATTTCTTTGTCTCCCTCTCTCTCTGTCCCTTGCCTGCTCACACTCTTTCTCTGTCTCTCAAAAATAAACATTAAGAAGAATTTTTCTTTTTAAAGATTAAAGAAGATATCCTGAACCCTTTTAAAGGGAAACCACTTTGCCTAGGAAGGATTTAAAATCAATTTGAGGGGGATGCCTGGGTGGCTCAGTCAGTTAAGCGTCCAACTTCAGTTCAGGTCATGATATCACAGTTTGTGAGTTCGAGCCCCACGCTGGGCTCTGTGTGGACAGCCTGGTGCCTGCTTTGGATTCTGTATCTCCCCCCCACCGCCCCGTCCCTCCCCTGCTCATGCTTGCGCTCTCTCTCTAAAACAAATAAACATTTAAAACAAAAGAAAAAGAAAATCAATCTTAGGGGCACCTGGGTGGCTCAGTCAGTCAAGTGTCTCACTCTTGATATCAGTTCAGGCCCATCTCGCGTTTCGTGAGATCGAGCCCCACACCAGGTTCTGTGATGACAAGCACAGAGCCTAGCCTGCTTAGGATTCTTTTTCTCCCTGTGTGCCCCTCCCTTGCTGGCACTCTTTCTCTCAAAAAAATAAATAAACATTAGAGAAAAATCCAGTGTTGAGTATGGAAAAATTGGCACTATCCAACTAATGGTAAATGTGTTCTTGGTACAACCCTAGAACGATCTATAAATCTTTAAAGTTCTCTGTCACAGAAATTCCACTTTTTTTTTTTT